GAGAGAGAGAGAGAGAGAGAGAGAGAGAGAGAGAGGGGCACACCATCGCCTTGTTCAAAGGCAGGGAAAAAGAAAAAAACATTCAACGCGAGCCCTAATTAGAAACCAGCATAAGGAGTTGCAGGATTTCCTGTGAGTCTCCCTAAATGTATAGATCAAAAAAGTTTATACCACAGTATTTCCTTGTTATTCTTTCACCAGGTGAGGCAGTGGCTCCACTATTAAGCCCTCCCCAACAAAAACATTATACCTGTGTCTATACCCCTTCAGTTTCCAATAAATCAACGAATGAACTATACAAGGGCGCAGCCACACAATTTCTCGGGCCATTTTGAGAAGAAAATAACACACTTCCCAACCAACCTTACCATAGATGCTGTTCTGTAACTCAAAACAAGTTTTACAGGTTGACTCATTCAAAGATCGAAAAAGCATTAACCAAACATCAGGATTCCCCCGAGCTACCACCGTTAAACCCAATGAGGGATGGTATCAATGGCCAACAAGCCACCATGTCAGAAATGGATGAACAAGATTGAGCATCGTTACCCCAAAAGATCCTAGCAGTCTCTTCATATATCACAGCTCCACTTCTTGTAAGTCACTGAAACTTCCACTACTATTAGGAAAGTAGGCAGTGTCTACAGCATTCATCAAAGAAGAATTGGAGTGAGAAGATGATAAACTGGGGCCTCCCGCCAAATTTAGTGGCTTGTGTCCGATCATCTGGGGGAAGCCTCCACTCCATGAGGCAGCTCGGGACAGGGAGTTAAGGGACTCCATCTCTTTTCCCAACCCCATTGTTCCTTTACTCGAAATGGAGGTTACATTATCCAAGCTAGCGAATCTTGGCATGGATGATGATGAAGGTATTGGTGGTAGTGATGTATGCATGCCTGATATAGAAGGGTCTTCTCCATTCGTACCGATCATGTTTTCACTTGTAGTTCCTGCATCGTTCTGAATGATACTTTCACTTGGGGTGGCCTGGGTTGGGACAAAGAATTTCGAGGGGGTGCTTGGCTTTTTTGCAATTTGGGCAGCAGGTGATTGGAAAGAAGGGGATTGCGAAGTACCCCCACCTTTGTTGAACGTATCGACATACCTGCCAAATCACCACCAGTCCAACATGTAGTGGACCTCATCATCTAAAACCGTGGCATCATACCATATAACCATGACAAATAACATACTATAGAACATGCAACACTTTGAAGGTTTATGGATCGGAAAAGATACCAAGCAAAAATGAAGAATATCAGATTGGTTGAAACCCAAGATAACATTTGAAGGGTGTTTTCTTTATATATATGGACTGTCAATGATCTAATGGGTTTTTTTAATATTTTAAATTTACTATTTTCAAGATTTTAGGTCTAGGTTTCTTTTTTTTAAGGTTATTTTTGTCCTTTCAGCTGTAGAGATTTCACTAGTAGAATTGGGAGTTTTTGTTTTTTTAAGATGATGGGTAAGGATTTGATTAGGGTGTCTTAAAGAAAAAGTTTGATTTGAGGTTCCTTTTCTTTTATAAATATATAACTATTAGATCAGAAAAAAGAGAGCCAAGAGAATAAGAGTTATTTAAGAGCTTGTCAAGAGATCTTTTTGGGATGAACTCCTTGACCTTGAGAAAGAGTATATTCTCTCACTTTTTATTTTTGTCTTTTATTTTTCTGCCTTGTTATTTTATTTATCCTTGCTCCCTACACCAATTGGTATCAGAGCCAGTGAACCTTGAGATCCACACACCAAGAGTATTTGCATCGAATTGGATCAAATAATTAAGACAGTCAAAGAAGACCTGATAGAACGTACTGGCAAAATAATACAAGATCTACACAGCAGATTGCAACAAGAGGAAAAAGAAGGTGAAAATGTAAATCTAAATGCGAAAGATGTGATAACAACCCAAAAGTACTAGAAATTTTGAAAATCAATTATGAGGAAGAATATATGATTGTTGCAGCATGTAAAATACCACCCTTTGAGATCAAAGGAGAAATCAAGATGAAGTTGGATATTCTAGAGATCCACTAAAAGCTGGATATCAGTTTGATCAATTGTTACATTGAAGAAGACAAGGTATCCAGGCAAATGGTAGCACTCCATGACCAATTATTGAAATGGCCTTTAGAGGATCTGATGAATTCCAAAAGCTTGAGGTCAAGCTTCTCCCAAGCCAAGGAGAATGATGTAATGGATTTACTTAATATTTTTATTTTACTGTTTTCTAAATCGTAGGTTTGAGGGTTTTTTGGGTTTTCTTTACGGTTATTTTTGTCTTTTCAGTTGTAGAGATTTCAAGGATAGAATTGAAAGTTTTTTTTTCAAATATGATTAGGATTTGATTGGGGTGTCTTAGAGAAAAAGTTAGGTTTTAGGTTTGTTTCTTCTATAAATATGTAACTATTAGACCACAAAAAATAGAGTAAAAAAAATAAGAGTTATTTTAAATCTAGTGAAAAGATCTTTTTAGGATGGACTCCTTACAGGCCTTGAGAGAGGGTATATTCTCTCACTTTTTATTTGTCTTTTATTTGTCTGGGTTGTTATTTTCTTTATCCCTACTCCCTATATCAGCCAGCCATTGCGATTTTGAAATGGGAAATTTCAAAAAAACAATAAAGAACTCATAGAATACTGGCATAAATCATAAAGATGCTCCAGAAACCTCAAATCAAAACAGTGCCTCAGGCAGTTAATTTTAGCTGAATTGACCATTCTGCCAAGAGTCTAAGTAAGATGTCATTTCCGAAAAGGCTTTCATATAGGAAAACAATGACTAGTCTCCAAGTCTCTCAGGCCCTCATGATTTGTGCAGGTGTACCCAGGCAATATTTTGACATTTTCCAAAAACACAAGACCAAAAGCATGGATGAACATAAAAAACCAGTAAGACATCTATACCTGGATCGAACGCCCATACGCCCACGAGAAGAGAATTGATTTGTGCTAGGAGGAATTGGAGGCATTCCAGAAGTGTGTCCTGAGGGAATGGGTGATTTGATACCCTGTACGCCATTGGAGGGTGATACCTCCTTGTCGACTGTGCTGTTTGGATTGTAATCAGGCGTGCCATTCTGAAAACTTGCCATGGTTGGTGGAGGTGCCAAGACAGCTTCTGCAGGTGGTGGCTCAGCACCTTCTTCTACCCATCTCTTAAGCTTTTCATCATAATAGAACTTGTTTTTCTCCCCCAGCTTGGCCTAAAAGAAATCACATATAAGTTGGGATTTTCAATTCATCTATAACAGCTAGTCTTCCAAGTGCTAGTAGAACTTGTTGCTCTTCCGTGGTTTGGCCTAAAGGGAATAAGTTGGGTTTGCAGTTAAATCTATACTAACTAGTTCTCCAAGTTAGTAGAACTTGTTTTCTCCCCTAGTTTGGCTTAAAGGAGTCACAGATAACTTGGGCTTGCAGTTAATTCATACTAACTAGTCTTCGAAGTGAGAGGGCACAAAAAGGTCCTCGACAAAATCAAGAGAATTGATCAATTACCTGACGGTTTCTTGAGACCAATCCCACAGCCTTCTGAAGAATGCTTGATCCAAACCGGCCAAAACGATTTCCTCCACCAGAGGCCAATGCTTTGGACTCAGAATGTTTTTGAGAGGCAGCATCTTTCTATAGAAAATCAGTAGAAAGCATCAATAAATTCACAAATGGGATGTATGCAAAAAATTCATCACAAAAGGATGTGAGAGAGAGAAGAGAGAAGAGAGTACAGAATCACATTACGGTGAAGAAATCCCACCTGTATCAAGCTGCTACCAAAATCTGGCTCTGAAATGCTTCTGCTTTGCACTGTAAATTTATTGTTGTCCCCTGTCCATTCACTGATGGGGTCCATTGAAGCCGATGGCATCAGTGATCCACTGCTCATTCTTGAAGAATTGTTAACAACGTTTGAAATCCCTAAATGGTTATCGGGCTCACTGCTAAGTGCATTACCCGGCAGTGGTGGTAAAGGTGGTGGTGGTGCACCGATCATGCGGTGAATGGATCTATCAATAGTGGTAAATAACTTACCCACTAATTTGGCAGGGGCCAAATTGGAGCTGTATCCTCCCTGGATATAATTGAAAAACAAAGGACATGAAGTGGCACTTATATGTATAAATTTTCTTTATATTAGTGGATTGTGCCTAGCTTCATAAGACAAACCTGTTGATGAGTTCGTATACGTTCCTCCAAGGATGATATCATAGACTTCCACAATTCAGCTTCAGGAGCACGAACAGCATTTTTCATTGACTTGGATAAAGCTTGACAGTACCTGATTACTGCATATTAAGTAGGGAAACTGAACGCAGAAATATTTCAGAGGGAGATCAATATACTCACCTCAAAGAGTCTGAAACCTTGCCAACTTCAGCCAGCATGTGTGCATAGATGACCTTATAAGGTTGAAATGGCAGTAAAATATACTGGGCATTGCCTTGCACCTTCGTGTATTCATACACCTCTGTTCTCTGTTGAAAACCCATAAAATTAAAAGCCATATCAGAGTGCAAGATCTTTTGGCACATGTATGGCTATGCAGCTCAGAAAGTAAGATGCATAAGAACCAAAAGAAAAAAATAAAGAAAATAAAGAAAATAAAGGAGGCAAGACCCTAAATAGTTGGTATAAGGAATAGATGATGATGATAGAGGAGGCAAGAATTTAAATAAAATAATCCCAATTGCTAACTGCTGATCCATAACCACAAAAAAAGAAAATAAAATCTCAATCTGCCAAACATCAAATCCTTGTATGAAACCCTATCCATTAAGTACTGATTAAATAGAAAAAAATATGCCCCCATAATCCATATGTAAACCAGTAATAGAATATAGCGTCTTCCTACAGTGGAATCTGCAACTCCCTCCAATCAAACCCACAAATAGCATTGTCCTAACAAGTAATCATTCCTAACCAACACCGCTGCAATCAACTCTGGGTTCCAGAAGTGTTGATATCCTGTTGATATCAAAATTATGATCAAACATTCCAGATAAAGGTTACCTCCACACCATGTTCCAATAATTGGGCAACCTCAGTGTTCATATACACATCAACTCCAATAATAAATCCTCCATTTATCCACCTTAAACTTTTCTCCGTGTCCAAGAAATGAGGTTCATTGTGCTTCAGTGATCAGTAAATTACGCTCACCATTCTACCTATTCAAAGATATGATTTGATAGTTCTTTCCATAGCCACTAAAACCTACCTAGCAAAGAATTCAGAGAAAGTGACTCCCGTGCAAGAAGGAAACTGGAGACCATGAAGATATAGGTCCCAGTTGAGCTGAGGAGATGCTGACCAGCTGAACAAACAAGTATAATCTCCTCTCACAAACTCACAGTAGAGAAATGATGTTGAGATGCTCAACTGTCTCCTCCTCCTTTACATCAAAATGATATAATAGTTTTAAAGAGCTTACATTACACGCAAGATAGGGCCCATAGTCGTTGGGTTCGGGAGCAGAATCGAGATCAAGAGAAGAGGATCATGAAATGCTAGAAGATCACTATGGTTGGGAGTGTCATCCATACAATCTGTATGCTAGGGATGAAGATCCCCAAATGTTAGAGATCAAGATCCCAACTTTTTGGGGATCTTTATCGTGACCTTTTGGGATATTGATCCCAACCAACCTTCTGGGATATACGATTATATATATACTCTTTAAAATAGGTATCTCTTTATTTATAGCTAGCAAGCAATGCAACGATATTAGAACTATAGTTGTGTTGTTAATTGGCTACAAATATAGAAAATATTACTTTGGTTGTCGTCTTAGCCTTGCGGCTGGGATCGATATCCCTAACAGCAGGAACCTGGATCCCTAACAATTAGGATCGGGATCCCAAAATTTAGAAATCAAGATCCCTTTCCTGAAGCGCAGGAGCAAGATCCCAGAGCGGGATCACCACCTATTTGGATGATCCCTAGGCACAATTCATGGACAAACAGGAACCAGCCATACATGCCTCCCAATAAGGTCTCCACTAAACTGAGAAAAAACCCTTAAATTCCAAACCAAATTCTCCTGTGCACCACCTGTTATGCATTGAAGACCCATCCAACAACCCCTAGAGATCTATGAACTCAAACCTCCTCCAAATCCTCCTAACCTAGGAAACCCCAATGCTTCCCCCACCCCCACCCCCTTATTCAAAGAACTCGAAGACATGGGTTCCCAACTCACATCAACACTAAGCGACCACAAAAAAGCAGCATCAAGCCTAATTCCCCAGCCTGAAGATCCCCACAAATCCCACTCATATTCCCTCAACCCTAAGCCTCATCCCTATGAGAAACCCTTGCTGAGTCCTCTGAATCGGCCCCAAGATTATGCTATGCATAATGAAGACAAGAAAATTGTATAATAATGATGAGTAGATGTATGACATTCCATAAGCCCAAATTCTGCTAAATTATAATATATGAGAATGCTTTGAAAGGGAACACGACATCCCATTTGGACATAACCAAAATAATTTTGCAGAAAGTAAAGAACATTCATTCTGCTGCTTATTAATTAAAAAGAAGAAAAAACAAAAGATCCGTACCAGTTCTAATCAGCTTCCGAGCAACATAATATTGTAAGAACAAGTCACAAAATCACAAAAATGTAAAAATAATTCTCACAATTCTCAGCATTACCAACTTTCCTAAACTCTTACACAAAGTCAATCCCTATGATCTGAATGGCATGAGCATACAACTGTTTCCATAAGAGTTAATTTTTTAAAGTAACATAAGAATTTATTTGGTTAAGATTTGTTTAGGAACAATAATGTCCCCACCACTGCAGTAGCAATTCATACCTGGTCTAGGACAAGGTTACACCAAAGGAAAGGCATCTCCAAAAATAAAACTCCGAATATCACTCTCTCTCTCTC